ATTTGAATCATCTAATCAAAAGATATGAATAAAATGATGGAAGATCGCATTTTGAAATCGCAACAGCTATCATTTGACTTCTTCGTCTGTTTTCACCTTTCTCCTCTCAGATTGTCACAATGGTGTCTTCATATGATTTGTAGGCCTTGAATTTGGCTTTCATATGGATCTTTAATCGTGTTCTTTGGATGTTTTTACAAAACGATAAGCTTGAACGATTGACAGAAGGTCATCCTGAATGCCGTTTTCAAGCTCTATTCGTCTTCATTTGATCTTGTAGCTACTCCTAGCGCTCTCTTGTCGTCAAAACTTTGTCGTAAACCTCCCGGTGACATATAAAACTCTCGATTCATTCTGAAATGCATCTCAAATCATCCTGATTGCTTCTCAAGCACTGGTGCTGGGCTCAAATCCCTGATTTTGACTCCAAACGGTATAAAACTCGAACCAACACCCCATAACTATGACTTTAGCTAAAAATGAGACTTGTGACACAAAATAATTAGGGAAACCATCAAAAGTCAATCTAAACATGCATGAAATGCGTGTCTAAATACGGACTTATCTAACGCCAATTTTCGTTTCGCACGGAATGCATTCTTCATAGACGTGGCCCACTCTCTATAGTTACTCTCGCTTTTCAGCACTATCCCACAAATATTCTGGTCGGGATAGTTTGAGTTCGACAGATAGTAGGGCGAAACAGGGTCATTGATTTTCCTACGTTCAGCTTGTTCACCGACCATTGTTTGTCATCTCCGCTCTTGATATGTCACGTAAACTCGCCCAGAATGTTTCACCGCTCGGTCCGCTCCGATACCATAATAAAAAATAGCCGAACAATACAAAAGATATTCTATATAATTTGCTCTATCAAAAGAGTACATCTGTTAACATATATACACGCACGTATGTGCTTAACTCCCTATCTACATGCTGCCTAGCGGCTTTCTTGGAGGAAAAGAACGAAAGAAATTAAATGCTATACAACATCCCAGGTTGATCACAAAGCTACGTAGTACACACAAAAATGTGACACAAAAATAAATGTACATAATAATTCCAACAGTTATGGAATTAGCATCAATGGTATGAACATGTGTTTTGTTGTCCTCTAAAGCAACACCAATAATCTTAATATATTGTTAGCTCAAATGTTTTTTTATATTAATAATGGTTAACACACTTTCTAGCAGCCCACTACACTATACCCATTTATCTGTCTGGCCTGTCAATATTTGTCTCTCCCGTTAGAATTTGAATTCAGCTCATTATTGAGCCAGTGATGAGTTGTGTGTGCAGTGCATTATTTGAGTGTCCTTGTGAATCCCTTCTAATAAGGCCAAATTCTTCCATGTTATATACCCACCCCTGCACCCTTGTTCAGTGCGTGAAACACACACCAGAGACTGGCTGAGTGAGAGTTCTTGAGAGGCAGTTCCCTTCTCCTTCTTGGTGAGGTTGAGAGTGTGAGTGTTGGCGAGGCTAGAAAGGTGTGTTGCTCCCTTAGCCTAGGTGTGCACAAGAGACAACCGAAAAACCGAACTCCGGACTGCCTGAGTCGGAATACGTCGACGAAATCGATCCTCAACAGTGATATCAGAGCCTAGGTTGTTTTCGCCGTCGATTTCGCTGAATTTCGCCGTCCGCCGCTGATAGAGTGATTATCTAGAGAGAAGTGAGAGCTAGAGAGAGAAGTGCAATAATATGCTTCAATAGAATGATTTTGTAACCCCTATAACTACTCCCAAGGGGAGTATTTATAGAGAAAATACGGGCTGGGCTCCCAAGCCTTGGGCTTGGGAGGCCCATTTACAACTGGACCGCTACCGGGCCGAATACAAAGCCACTAATGGGCTGTACAAATGAGTAAGTGTGAAATCCGGTTCTGTGAGGTCTTCGTGGCCGACGAGGGCGTGGCCGACGAGGGCACGGCCGACGAGGGCGCGGCCGACGAGGGCACCCGGGTTCCTTGGACTCAGGATCATATTCTGAGTTGGCACCTCTTCGGCCGACGGGGGGTCCCTTGGCCGACGAGGGCACCACTCAGTGTCTTGTGCTTTCTGTTCTTCTGAGTATGTGGATCCGGGGGCTCAGACCCATATACTCCATCAGGAGTCCCCCACTCTCTAAGCTGAGATGTAGACGAAGTGAAGGAGAGTAGATTCCCGTGCTTTGGTGCTTTTGGCTGATGCGGGCACCCCCAAGCCGTCAGCCGTTGCGGCGTTGGCGCTGTTTCCCTTTTGGTGACCTTGTTCTGTGCTTGGCCGTCACCTGCTCCTCGTTGTGGACGGGGAGGCCGTTGTTTCCTTGGTGTGTTCGTTTGGGGACGATGAGTGTCCTGCTTCGATGGTGGTCGTTGAAGGCGCGTTTTCCCTTTCTTGGACGTTGGTGGTTGAGATTTACATTTGGGCCGATGAGGCTGTTGAGGTTGAACCTTGCTTCGAGGACGATGGTGTCCTTTCCTTTGGGTGGCCGGTAAGGGTGCTTGCGCACTCCTTTTGGCCGTCGCTGACTGGCTTTCGTGTCCCTGGCCGAAGAGCCCATTATGGTTAACTGTTGGCGGGGGACGATGAATGTCCTTGCCTTAGGTGGCCAGTTGGCCGTTGTTGATGACGTTATGTGCCTTTGGCCGACGAGGCGTAGTGTGATACATGGACGATGTGGCCATGCTTTGTGGTTACATTTGTGTTTGCATTTTTCCTTTTGTTTTGTTGAGGCCGATGTAGTCCCACAGTCCCCCACTGCTTCAGGCCGAAGAGAGTGAGGGGTGAAGGAGTTGCTTGAGTCACTGGCCGAAGCGGCCTCTCCGTAGTCCCCTTGAATCCAACCCTCATGACGATTTTCTTGCCAAGGTAACCCTGTGGGAGAACCCTTGTGCGCAGATCGCTTGTAAAGAGTTATCATCAAGGGTCGTTACGGAGGGCCGATGGGCGTTCATGACATTCCTGGCCGAAGTTATCTCCTTAGTGTTGGCATTTGTGAACTTGGCAGGCGTATAGGCCGTTGTGGGCACTTGCTGGCACTTGTGAAGCCGGCAAGCATATAGGCCGTTGTGGGCGCTCGTTGTCCGTGTGATCCGTAGGCTTTTACTCCGCTGATACGTTGGTTCACGAGCCCGGCCCATTTCTGAAGGGGTGGCACCTCATCGGCTGCTGGGAAGGTGACCGCTGAGGTGGCCATTGATATGGTGCCACATGTAGTGACCGTTGGAGATTTGTCTATAAATACCCCCCTCCTCCGAAGCGGTTCCTCACTTGCATTCTTGAGATATTGAAGTGTTGCCCAAATTTCTAGAGAGAGAGAGTCTTCAAGGTGTTCTTCGAGTTCTTCATACCTTCAAGGTTAGTTCTTGACTTGTTCTTCAATTCCTTTGTATACTTAGCTTCCCTGAGCCTTGATCTAGTGTTAGTGGATAAAACGCCTTAGATACTAAGTTATTCCCTTTAGGCTCGTAATAGTTGTTATGATGAAGAGCTTAGACGAAGAGTACTATCCGTACGACGACCAGCCCTCCACTAGGTCACTCGACTATGAGGTGCTTGAGGAGTTCGAGGAAGAGATAGAGCGTTTAAGTCCTTACAAGTCCGGAGAGCCAGTGGACGACGAAGGCGAGGACGAGGAGTCCGCCTCGTCTTCAAAAGGTGAGGACGCAGGTGCGTCCCGAGTGGTGGACGGGGCGTCCACTTCCGCTGTTATTCCGTGCCCGAGACCGGTGTCTGCCGTGAAGGGAGCAGATAAGCCGAAGAGAATAAGGAGGCCGAAGAGTGGGCCGGGCGTCTCCTACCTGGATCTCACAAATATTTTCCTGATCAAGCCAGAGAGCAGTGCGGCTGACTACTTAGTTGCCCAGATGTACGTGGGGCCGTTCGGGAGGGTTAGGGCACCCAGGCCGACGGACCATGTACTCCATCCGCCACCGGGATACTTCGGAGTATACCCGATGAGTTTCGCCAAGGGTCTGAGGTTTCCCCTTCATCCCTTCATCACTGAATATCTGGACATGGTGGGACTCCCTCCGGCCTTGCTGACCCCGAACAGCTACTCGTTGATGGTGGGGTTCTTGCTCCGCTGTGAGGAGTTGGGCTACAGGCCGACGACGGCCCTGTTCATGAATCTTTATTAGATCGGCCGAGGAAGCCACAAGAACTGTGCGGCCTATGCTACTCTCCAACAGCTGCCGAAGAAGAGGAGCTTCACGGACATGCCTTCGTCCATTCATGGGTGGATGAGCAAGTTCGTTTTTGTATCCCTTGGTGAGAATGGCACTGAGTTTCCCTCTCTCGGCCACACCGGGAGGTTCAATCTGCACGAACCGCCGAGGAGTTCTATCTTGGACGCTCAGGTGGAGGCGTTCTTGGAGGGGGGGCCGAGGAGCGTGAAAGACTACATCACCGAATATAAGATGACCGCCCTCGGCTTCTTCAGATACTATGTGTATGGCGATAAGGAGGACGATGTCCAACTTTGGCCGAGGATGACCACTACCTTCGAAGAGGCCGACGACCCGGATTTGGGCATTCCTGCTGAGGCCGATGGTAATACTTTCTTCGGCTTCCTTCCTTTGTTATTTGTTCTTTTGCCTTGCTAATCTGTTCATTTTCCTTTGTGTAGATTTTGTTATGGATCGCCGTTCAATCATGGCCATAGCCAAGGCCAAGGCGGCCGAGGAGTTGGCTGCAAAGGCGGCCGAGGCGGCCAGACGTGCCGCGGCCGAGGGGGGCGGGGTTACTGGTGGTGCGGCCCCAAAGCCTGCCCAGTCCAAGAAGAAGAGGCCTCCCACTGACGGCCAGAAGAAATTGACCGAGGCTGGCCTGAATGTCACTAAGAAGACGAAGAGGGCACCGTCTCCTTCCCGTGCCGATGAGGTCGGCACTCTGACTGTCCCGAATGTGGACGATAGTGGTCCCGTTGTGGATCTTACCGCTGCTCCAAGCGATGCTGCCCAATCGCTCCCTCTCGTCCAGGAGCCACGGACGAAGAGGGCCGACAAGGAGATTGCCGCTGCCACCTACCAGAAAATGGTGGAATACCCCGTCGGCGGGGGTGTCTTTGACGATGGTGTCCTCGGCCATGATGTGCTGGCCCAGGCCATGCCGGCCAAAGATCGGGCCTACCTCAAGAGGCTCGGGGACGTCAAGGTGTACGAAGGCGGGATGGACCTCATCGTCCAAGTAAGTTCCCTTTCCTCTTATTTGTCGTTTTTCTCGTCGTCCGGGTGAAATCATTTTCCTGAGTCTTTGTTTGCCTTTGTTGTGCAGGGTGCCTTCATGCTCATGGAGAGCCACAAGAGGCAGCAACGAGAGATTCCTCGTCTGAAGGAGCTTGAGCAAACGGCTGCCTCGGCCGATGAGGCGGTGGCCTGCTTGGATCGGCTCCGGGAGGATGCCAAGGCTCTGCAAAAGAGGGCCGATGAGGCAGCTGCAGCCAGGGACGATGCCCTGGCCAAACTTGAGGAGAGCCAGAGGGCGCTTGAGGCTGAACGACGCAAAAATGAGGAAGCCGTGAAGGCAAAAACTGAGGCTGAGGCTGCCGCTGTGAAGGCCGCTGATGAGGCCGTTCAGCAGTTCCTGGCCGAGGGGTGGAAGGCCGACGAGCGGCTCCCCTGGTGTTATGAAGTGGTGGCCGCCAGGCTTGAAGATTGGGGAATGAACTCCCCCGCCGGCCAAGAGTACTTTGGCAGGGAGATGGCCGTGTACTACAACATGGGCCAAAAGCGGATGCAGAGGCTCCTGTGTCGGCGGCTATCGTTGCCCTCAAAGCCATGAACTATACCTCCGGGTGGGCGAGGCGGAACCTGAAGCTTCCCAAGCTGATGAAGGATCCCGAGGAGCAGGCTAAGCTTCCTCTTTCGGAGCGGGAGCCCCCAATCGAGAGTTCCGGCCTCGGCGAGCCGGATTATGACGAGTTTGACTTCCTGGATGATGCCACCAGTTCTGCGGCTGCCGCCGACCAGGAGACTGAGGCCGAGGAGGGAGCCGAAGATGCCGAGGAGCAAGCCGAGGATGGAGGCGCCCAAGAGACTTGATCGGCTACTCCCCGCTCCCTATCTTGTAATTAATTTTCTATTTTTGCCCATCTGATGTAATGGCCGAAGCGCCCACCAAAGTACTTAATTGTTTATGAATGAACGTTGTGCTGTCCTGCGCGGCTTTGAATGTCTTGTATGTTTATTCCCTTTTGCTATTTCAATTTTGAAATTTGTCTAAGTGTAAAAGTTACAACTTAGGTCACCCGCGAGTGTCTGCTACGTCCGTGAGGTAGGCCATTCAGTCTGGTGGCCTGGTCGGCCTGTCCGGTGTTTCTTTGCTGTCGTAACACTTGGGATTTGTTCAAAAAATTTCTAAGTGTTTTAGATCCACTTAGGTGTTTTCCTTTCCGTCCCTGGCTGAGGCGGGCAAGCTGAGGTGTCCGCTGCGTCCTGGCGTTGTCCCATTCTTCTTTTGTTGTTTGGTCTTACAATTTTTCTAAGTGTCCAACTTCAAGTAGCCCCTTTAGTGTGGTGTCTTCCGCGGCCAACTATAATGGTGTGGCCGATACGTGACACCCACCGTCTGTGCTGTAGGGCTCCACAATTGTGGACGACGCGGGTGGCCGCCTCGTCCACGCTTCCTGTGAACATGTAGGCCTCGTTCCTGCCTACGTAGTGCCTTCCTCATCCTGACGTTTCATCCTGATGCTAAGTGTTAGGGGGAGACTTCCCCGTTTGCATGCCTTCGTGCCTTCATCGCCTTGGTGCATTTTCTTTCAGACGTTTTCCGTTTTTGCTTCACCCAACCCATTGGGTTAGGATTTTGGACGTACGTGCTTCGTCTGTGACGCTTTCCTCGTCTGTGATGGACGTGTGGCCGTATCGTCCATGTCACCTGTTAGTGGTACTACACTTGTGTTCAACTGATATGTACTTAGCCAAGTTCGGCATGAGTTGTGGGGATTTTATTTTTTCATTGCTCAAGGCCGGCAAGTGCGCGCGGTCCTCGGCTTCCCTCTTTTATTTTCCCTTTTTCCTTTCCTCTTTTTTTTTTTATTTCCGTTTCCGTTCCCTATTTCGGGGAGTATCCTTCTTTCAGGCTTCGGCCGATGGGTGTGCTCGTCCTTCGGCCGGTTCGGACTTCGTTTATAACGTCTGTGATCTCAGGGGGGGGTCCCGTCGCCTATTTATGACGCGGGCTAGACATTTGGTTGGTTTCCAACGGCTGCCGTTGCCCAACCCTGAGTTTTGGGATTTTGTCACCTCGGCCATGATTTCAGGCCTGTCGTCCTGCGATCAGGCGCGTGGACGACGCGGTGAACTTCCCGTTTCAAGACGCGGGCCGTTTGCGGGCCCATCGTCCTGGGGACGTCGTCGGTCCTGCCTGAGCATTTTCGCTCTAAGGGGCCGATGCGACGTGCTCTCTCAGCTGGCCTAGACCTTTTGCTGATACAAAATACAATGGGCATACCCGAGCTTTTTCGCTCTAAGTTTGCGGATGCAGAGCGCCACGTCAGCCATGCCTGAGCCTTTCGCTCTAAGGTGGCCGATGAGGGCACTTTGTTCATGTTCGAGTCGAACTCCAATAAATCAAAGGAAACATGATTTTTATTCAAAAGTGGCTCAAGGCCGAGGGTGGCGTTCAATCAATAACCCGTCAAAGGGTGAGGGCTTCGCCGGCTTCACCTCCTTCGGATTATTGATAAAACTTCACCAAATGGTGTACATTCCACGTTCGTGGTACATTCGTCCAATTTGGGCGTTTAAGCTTGTAGGTGCCGGGTTTCACCACGGCACTGACGATGTAGGGACCTTCGTATTTCAAGGATAACTTGCCCCCTTCTGTCGGCTGGCTTGCTTCCCTTCGGCGGAGGACGTAGTCCCCCACTTGGAACTCCCGGGAACGTACCTTGGCGTCATAGTATGATTTTACTTGACACCGGTAGTTCTCTGCTCGGATGAATGCTTGCTCGCGTCTTTCTTCGATCATGTGGAGGTCGATCTTCATGTTTTCCTCATTAACCTCTTGGTCATACTGCTCCACTCGTCGGCTGGGGATGGTGACCTCTGTGGGTGCCTTAGCTTCAAAGCCATAGCACAGGGCAAAAGGTGTTTCACCCGTCGCCCTCCTTGGCGTGGTACGATAGCACCACAGGATGTTGGGGAGCTCGTCGACCCAACTCCCTCCTGCGTCCTGTAGGTTCTTCTTCAGCCCTTCCATGATGGTTCTATTGGCGTTCTCAACCTGCCCGTTGCCTTGAGGGTAGGCAACGGAGGAGAAACGGTGTTTTATCCCCCATTCTCGAAGGAGCTCTTGGAAGGGCGCCGTTGTCGGATATGATCTCTTGGGGGACACCAAAGCGGGTGAGGATGTTCTTGTGAACGAACTTCTGACACCTGGCCCCCGTGATGCTGGCCAAGGGTTCCGCTTCGACCCACTTAGTGAAGTAGTCGACTGCGACGATGATGTAGCGGTTGTTGCCGGCAGCTCTGGGCAGGTGATCTCGTGGGTTTCGAACGCCTTCAGCAACTCCTCCGCCGCTTGCTTGTACTGCTTCATCCGACCTTCCTTTGCTTCGTACGTACCCTCAACCTGGCCCACTACCAGTTTGGAGTCGCACCTGATTTTGATGTGTCGGGCTCTGAGGCCGGCGGCGAGTCTGAGGCCACTGAGGAGGGCCTCATACTCGGCTTCATTGTTGGATACCCTGAAGTTGAAGTGGATGGCATAGTAAGCTCTGAATCCTTCAGGGGATATGAGGACGACGCTGCCACCGCATGATTTCGCGGCCGACGAGCCGTCGGTAAAGAGGATCCATGTGTCATCGGGCTCTGGCCCGGGGGCGGTAGCGGCTGTCTCCCTTGCCGTGCATTCGGTGACGAAGTCGGCCAAAGCTTGCCCTTTGATGGATGGCCTTTGCTTGATTTCAATCTGAAACTGACTGAGGAAGATTGCCCATTTCACCATCCTTGAGGAGCTAGTGGGGCTCCTCATGAGCGCGCCAAGGGGCTGCTGGGTCAGCACATGGACGGCATGGGCCTGGAAGTAGTGCCCCAGCTTCTTCACCGTATGGACGATGGCCAGCACCGTCTTCTCAATGGGGGAGTACCTGAGCTCGGCCTCCCTGAGTGTCTTGCTGATGTAGAAGATGGCCTTCTGCACCCCTTCGTCCTCACGGATGAGTGAGGAGCTGATGGCCGACGTGCTCACCCCTAAGTACAAGAAGAGGGTTTCGCCAGATTTGGGCTTGGAGAGCACGGGCGGGGACGATAGGTACCTCTTCAGCTCTTCGAACGCTTCCTGGCACTCCGTCGTCCACTTGAAGCTGTTGGCTTTACGCATGATCTGGAAGAAGGGGAGTGCTCTTTCGGCTGACCTGGAGAGGAAACGGTTTAGGGCCGCTAGGCGCCCCGTCAGTCGCTGTACTTCCTTGACGTTGCGGGGCGGCTCCATGTTGATGATAGCATGTGTCTTCTCTGGGTTTATCTTGATGCCTCTCCGGCTGACCATGTAGCCGAGGAACTTGCCGCCTTGGACGCCGAAGGCGCTCTTCTTGGGGTTGAGGCGGAGCCTGAACTCCTTCATGATTTCAAAGATTTCCCATAGGTCGTCGGCATGGGAGGAGGCCTGCCTGCTCTTGACGATCATGTCGTCGACGTATGCCTCCATCGTCCGGCCAAGGACCGCTCTGAAGATCTTGGCCACCATCCTAGTATAGGTGGCGCCTGAGTTTTTGAGTCCGAAGGCCATGACGAGGTAGCAAAAGATTCCCCCCGGGGTCATGAATGCCGTCTTCTCAGCGTCATCTTCATGCATGGAAATTTGGTGGTACCCTCTGAAAGCATCAAGGAACGACATCAACTCGCACCCCGCCGCCTCGTCCACCAGCTGATCAATGTTGGGGAGAGGGAACGGGTCCATGGGGCACGCCTTGTTCAGGTCAGTGTAATCAACACACATTCTGAATGTCGGCGGTTTTTGGGCGAGGACGACGTTGGCTAGCCACGTCGGGTACTTCACCTCTTTTATGTGGCTGATCGAGAGGAGCATGGCGACCTCCCCTTTGACGAAGTCCCGCCTATCGTCGGATAAGTAGCGCCGCTTCTGCTTGATGGGCGCGGAGGCTGGATCAACGGTCAGCCGGTGAGTAATCACCTGGCGGCTGATGCCTGGCATGTCGTCCGGTCCCCACGCGAAGACAACGGCGTATGACCGTAGGACGAGGAGAATGGCGTCCCACTGGTCCTGTGGGAGCTGCTTCCCGATTCTGAGGACCCGCTCCGGCCGGGAGGTATCCAGAGGGACTTCCTCGACCTCCTCGGCCGGCTCGGCGTGCGGCCTCTCTCCGTCCTTGGCAACGGCTGCCGTGATGGTGTCTATCCTCTGTCCTTCCCTTTCGGCCGGCCTCGTTAGTTTGAGGTAGCACGCTCTGGCTATCCTCTGATTTCCTCTGGCGTAGCCGATTCCGTCATCGGTGGGGAACTTCAGGCACAAGTGCTTCATGGAGATGATGGCCT